GGCTCCTTGCTCCTTCCGCTCTTCATTCCATCGTTCCTCTTCCTCCTCCTCCTCCTCCTCCTCCTCCTCCTCCTTCTTTTTAGTCTCTGTGTGGCAGTGAATCCGAAGGAGACAGACGGTGCGTGGGGTTTCCCCCGAGGATGCATACACACACACACCCTCACGTGCACGCTCACACATATGCTCCAGGAAGATGAGGCTCTGTGTCTGACACAAACATTTGTACACACACACACATTTCAGCACACTCACACACATGCACATACACACACACACAGCTGATTTCTGTACTGATAAATTCTGACAGTGTAATTTTCTTTATCGTTAATCTGCACTTTCCAACAAACGTGAGCAGCAAGTGGGGCTGAGAGAACATGAATGGAACACACACACACACACACACACGTACATTTTTAATAATTGAAGTGACTTTTAGCCTGAAACCTTTAGTGTCATTTTTTCCGTCTTTTTTTCGTCTTTTTAAATTAAACCCCATATTTCCCAGCATGCTCGTTGGATTCCATTCTTATCATCAACTTCTCCAGCCTCAGATTTAATCTCTGCTGTTCGTTTGAAGGACTTCCTCTCTCCTGACATGAAAACGCGTCTTCAGTCAAGGTCAGATTAAAACCAAGTCCAGGCTCCACCCACTGGTCCTGACCTACAGCATCCCATAATTCAGTCTGTTGACACTGGTGTGGAGCCACATCAGGAGTGAGAGGGTGAACATCAGCTCTGCCTGTCTACTACAGCGTGAGCTGAGATTCTAATAAGGTTTGGGTTTCCGTGTCACTTCCTCTCAGGCTGTTTCTGATCTTGGACACGTTCACCCTTCACTGATGCTCCTCCTCCTCATCACCCTCACCTGTTAACATTCTGGGGCGTTGAACCTCGATGAACTTTTGAGTCTAACTTTAGCTTCATCCCAAATGATATCGCTGCAGGAACCATGTGACTGTGACTGTGTGTGGTGTTGTTGTAGGTGTGTGTCCTCTTGTCCTACCATAATGACATGATGTAGGCAACCATCTGATTCTGACTGTACTGCACACACACTCACAGGCACAACGTTGTCGTCTCTCTGGGATGAGCAGACAAAGGTCAGTTCTGTTAAATGGATTAGTCTCTGGTCTTTAGATCTTCTCTCTCCCTCCCTCCCTCCCTCTCTCTCTTTTCTTTTCTCGCTCTCTCAAACCAAAGACTGAAAAATTGGAGGGAAAATTAAGAGTTAATTTAAATGGATGGGACTGAAACACCTTTTTATTTCCTGACTGAAAATAATCAAGAGCTTTCTTTCTTTCTCTCTCTCTCTCTTTCTTTCTTTCTCTCTTGTTTTCTTTCTTTCTTTCTTTCTCTCTCTCTTCCAGCTGCAGTTGGTCTCTCGTGGACTGACGTAGGCAGACACGTCCACCTACGTCAGTCCGTGTTACAGATCAGAACAGTTGGATGATTTGAATCTTGTAGAAGTTAAGAGTGAAGGAAGAGACGACAGTAAAACCACAGACAGTGTGTCAGACAGGAAGTGGCTCATCAAAGCTAATGGATGCCTGAGGAAAGCAGGCATTAATGAAGCTTTTTATGGCCCAGACCGGTGTGTGTGTGTGTGTGTGTCCTTCTCAGAGACATGTTTGTCCTTCAGTGCTTTATAATAAGAATCCTTCAATGATTTCCTTTAAATACAAAATGTACATGTTTTGGCTTTAAGTTAAACAATAATTAAAAGAAAACAGCAGGAAATAATGGTGAGGACGTAATGATGGGGCGTGGCCCACAGAAGACACTCAGCTACTGCAACAGATTCATTTAGTCCAGGGAGCTTTTTCTTTCGTGATAATGCAGTTTAGGTGTTGGGTTTTAGCTTCAGCTGCGTCTTTTCATTCCAAAAATGTCTTCTAACATGATGACCAACATTAGAACTCCCCCGCTCGTTCCACGTTCAACTTGTAAGTCCGATTCAGGTCTATTCAGTTGAAAATGTAAAAGTGAAAATATGAATTTTTTTAACCACAAAAATGGACATAGCTAAGTATTTTAAGGCAAATGAGTGTATTTTTAGTCATTTTTGCGAAACTTTTATTTTTGGAGATTTGTTCTTGAACTTACTGACTTGATCCCAACTCTACCTAAACCAATAATTAAACTCAACATACTATACTATGCTGAAAAAGTCTTCAGAAATAAAATAAATACAAATGCACTAATGAAATAAGTAGCTATGACTTTTTTTTAAGGTTAGAATTCAGAAAAAATATGCACTTGTATTTATCTGGGGTTTTTTTTTTCTTAACGTGAACCTGCCTTTTGTGTTTAAGAGTAAAAGTTTTAAGTTAATAGTCTATTCAGTCTCGGCCTCGAAGCTGAGCGAGAATGAAAACAATTATCTAAACATTCCTCAACAGTTCTCATGCTGATGTCACTGGCTGACATATTTATATTTTTTCAGAAATTACGGGCTATGACATTGCGCAGATGCATGTGACGCAAAACTGTGCCAGAGCCGACAGACTCCAGTGTGTAATTAATATCAGTGCAAAATGATTAGGTCAAAACTGATTTAATATTAAGCAAATAGATCGCTAGTCTGTATGTTTATTATAATGAATTCAGGTGGACAAGGCTACCAAAAACTGAGAGACTGAGAGACAACGCTATTATTTTCTGGATCAGTATAATCTTGTTTTGTAAAGTCAAACCTGAGGGGGTGTCAGGGAAAATAATATTTTCCCTAAAAAAAAAAAATCTTTGTCTGTATGAATGAAAAAGATGAATAATAAATCTGTTTTCTCACAGTAATAACACACGTACTCTCTCTCTCTCTCTCTCACACACACACACACACACTGACTCGTTTCCTCCTTGAAGACATTTATGATGCATTAAATCACATAAGAGTCTGAGTAAGAAGGTCAAATCCAAGGATGAACCGGAGAACACGCACAAACGCACGCGCACACACAGGCTCGCTCTGATTCATCGTCTCGTTTTTTCAAATTTGACCCTGGAACCCATCCGAATAATTCTACTGCCATCTACTGGCTAATGAGTCATGAGTGAAGCGAACGTGTTTGCTGGTTCACCAACGTACAGTCTACATGGTCGATCCTGATGTGGTTTGTAGTGAGCACAATTCTAATGCTAGTTTGCTGTTTAAAAAGGCAGGGTTTTTTGTTTTTGTTTGTTTTTTTTTGGTTTTTGTTTTCTACCAAAATGTTGTTAATTGTCTATAATATTGATTTTAAATGAATGTATGAACCTTTGTAGTGAGGCTTTGTCTTTAGACAAAGTTAAACTTGGATTTCTTTTTTTAAACTCGACAATACAGTTAACACTAGTTATTTTTTTTGTTGTTGTTTTTTTGTATTACAGGTTCTGATCCTCCAATCTGAGCTGACCTGAGAACCTCTCAACAAATCCTGAATTTGGATCCAGACTGAAGAAGAAGCGCTGAGAAGAATCCAAGAAGTACCTGAAGAGGAGCAGTGGAGACCTGAAGAGGAGCTGAGAAACATCTGTAGAAACATCAGGAGCAGTGATGGAGAAAAAACGGATCCTGTTCTTCCAGAAGGTTTTCCTGGTAACGTCGTGATGTCCAGAGATGGAGGGTACCCTGCAGCCGCATCATCAATGATGATGATCTCCAGAGACATTTTATCTCTGAGTACTTCAGAGGACTACAGCTTTTGAAGTTCTGCTCTGTTTTTCCATTCTCCGAAATGTGTCGCTCTGTGAAAGTGTTTCACTTGGTCCTTCTGCCCTCTGCTGGTGAAGGAAGTGAATAAACCCCCTCAGTCCTGCCTTAATCAGTCACAGTTTGGGCCCAGGATGAGGGGATCATCACGGTCTCTCCTCGGTGGCTTCAGCACCACCACATCTACTATGGAGATCGGAGGACAGATGTCATGGTTGAGCAAAGACCCTCTGGAGCTGAACAAGACTCTAGGAGGAGGAGGTGGAGCAGCAGCAGCAGCAGCAGCAGCCATGGATTCAGGAGTGGAGAACTTCACCCAGGAGTCCCTCACTAGGACAGTGATCAGGGAGAAGAACTGGCCAGCTCTCCTGATCCTCATCATCATCGCTCTGACAGTGGGCGGGAACATCCTGGTGATTCTGGCCGTGTCCCTGGAAAAGAAGCTCCAGAATGCAACCAACTTCTTTTTGAGGTCATTGGCTGTAGCCGACATGTTGGTGGGAATCCTGGTCATGCCTGTCTCCCTCCTGAACATCCTTTATGGTGAGAGCTGAAGAACTGAGCACCTTCAAACATTAGAGCTGCTGATGGTGACGATGGTGATGATGATGGGGGTGATGATGATGATGGGGGTGATGATGATGATGGGGGTGATGATGATGATGGGGGTGATGATGATGATGGGGGTGATGATGATGATGGGGGTGATGATGATGATGGGGATGATGATGATGGTGAGGAGGAGAGTGATGTGATGATGATGATGATTATGATGATGGTGATGGTGATGACGATGACGATGATGGTGGTGATGGTGATGTTGATGATGATGATGATGACGATGATGATGGGGATGGTGATGATGACGATGATGATGATGATGTTGGTGATGATGATGATGTTGGTGATGATGATGATGGTGACGATGATGATGATGATGGCGATGATGATGGTGATGGTGATGTTGATGATGACGATGGTGATGGTGATGGGGATGGTGATGATGACGATGATGATGGGGATGGTGATGGTGATGACGATGACGATGATGGTGGTGATGGTGATGTTGATGATGACGATGGTGATGGTGATGGTGGTGATGATGATGGTGATGTGATGATGATGATGATTATGGTGATGATGGTGATGATGGTGATGGGGATGATGATGATGGTGACGATGGTGATGGTGATGGAGATGGTGATGATGGTGATGATGGTGATGATGATGAGGGTGATGATGGTGATGGTGATGGTGGTGATGATGATGGTGATGTGATGATGATGATGATTATGGTGATGATGGTGATGATGATGATGGTGAGGAGGAGAGTGATGTGATGATGATGATGATGACGATGATGATGGTGGTGGTGTTGATGATGATGATGATGATGTCCTCTTCTCTGTTCCAGACTATGTCTGGCCTTTGCCCAGTGCTCTGTGTCCCATCTGGATCTACCTGGACGTCCTGTTCTCCACCGCCTCCATCATGCACCTGTGTGCCATCTCTTTGGACCGATACGTGGCCATCAGGAACCCAATAGAGCACAGTCGCTTCAACTCCAGAACCAAAGCCATGATAAAGATAGCAGCAGTATGGACCATCTCTATAGGTGAGATGTTTAAATGCTTCTTGGCTCTCCATGACAACACCAGCAGGTTTCTTCTTTAGCTCAGATGTGACCCAGAAAATCCTAATTCCACAAGAAGTTGTTTGTTCAGTCCTGAATTACAACAGATGATCAGTTGTGTAAAAGTGTCAATAAAAATGTAGAGCAAACTAACTGGAGCGCGTGTTTTTCTCTGGAGGTGTCTCCATGCCCATCCCTGTCATCGGTCTCCACAATCAGGACAAAGTCTTTGTCAACGGCAGCTGTGTCCTCAACGAGGAGCGCTTCATGCTGATTGGCTCCTTCGTGGCTTTCTTCATCCCACTGGTCATCATGGTGGTGACCTACTGCCTTACCATACAGGTCCAGGAGAAGTTCCCCTCCTCCTCCTCCTCTTCCTCTTCCTCCTCCTCGACCACCTTCATCTATAATCTCCAAGGTCTGCTTCTTCACTTACTGCTGTTGTTATTCTCTGAAGGTCCTCCAGAGGCAGGCCACCGTCTTCCTGTGCGAGAACAAGACTTCCCAGCAACCTTTAGAAACACCAGCGCCCACGAACAAACTGCAGCCTCCAGCACGGACCTTCGACACGCTCACTCTGCCAAACTCACAGGGTAAAGTCTGCAGTCTCTTTGAACTATCCATGTAGAAACGTCAGATCTGCCTGGAGAAGGGAAAGCGGGGTGGCATGCAGTTTAAAAAAAAAGCTGATCTGGCAGAAAGAATTAGATATTGTTCAAAGACATTTCAGAAAATATCGTTACTTTGAAGCACTCTGAAAATGTTTAAAATGTTAAAAAATGGTTTGAAAATGTGTGGAATCAAAGTCATTTCACTGGAATTAAAATCCAAAACATATTCACTTGTTATATGTTTGATGCTAAATGTTAGCATATAACACTAGCTGACAGCTAACCATTAACTCCTTCAAAGGTGTTTTTATTTTCTTGATGTATCCTTTGTTCCTCCCCCAGATCCAAAGCCTTTTCCTCCTCAGAGCAGAAGAAACACCCTGAGTTTTATTAAAGGGGCCGAGCCCAGTGTCCTGCTAAGCCCCTCCCCCTCCGATAGTATCAGCATCATTCCCAGCTCGGAGGCAGCTTCTCAGCTCAGCTCACCTGTCACAGGATCGAGCCGAGGAGATTCTTCTGGGCACGGACGACGAGGGATGATGCAGGCCATCAAGAACGAAAGGCGGGCCTCCAAGGTAAGTCTGGGGAAAGGGGCGGAGTCTGGATGATGTCACAGCGTAAAGAAGAGGTTTGGTGTTTGGACTGGTGCACATGTTCCAAGAAGGGCGGAGACACAAACTGCTGCTCTTTCTTTCTCTTCCTCCAGGTTCTGGGAATCGTTTTCTTCCTCTTCCTCATCATGTGGTGTCCCTTCTTCATCACCAACGTCACCTTCGTCTTGTGTCGTAGCTCCTGTGACGAGTCCCTCCTCAATGACCTTCTCAACGTTTTCGTGTGGGTTGGTTACATCTCCTCTGGAGTCAACCCTCTGGTCTACACCCTCTTCAATAAGACCTACAGGAACGCCTTCTCCAGCTACATCAGATGTCAGTACAGGATCGGAGCCAACGTGGGTCAGGCCTGTAGAACCCTCCTGGTTCCCCCACCATGTCCTTCACATGCTATGACTCCTCTGCTGACAGAAGCTGGGCCAAACAGAAAAGGAGGCGTGGACAGAAACAGCAACTGTCCTAATGGCAGCCAGGAGGGCAACGGGCGTTTGACCGTAGACCCTGAGGAGACCACAGACGATGAGACCCAGACTGGAGTCGTGTCTCTGAGTTTCTCCGAGTGTCAAAACATTGGGACTCTGTCAGAGACGGAGATGGAGACGGAGGTTGAGCAGGACGTGTCCCTCAGCAGCTACAGAGAAGACACCAGCAGTGTGTGATGTCGGAGCTGCCGCCAGGCCTGGAACCATCTGCAAAACTGGATTTTGGTTCAGTACAAGTTCTCATATCTGGAAAAAGCTGGAACTTTTACAACTTAAGAGGAAAACTATTTTTTGTTGTTGTTTTTATAGAACAGATATAAGCAGAGTTTCTGAGGTGGAACCTGCTCTTCCATCGCTGAGTGTGGATTCCCAGAGACTCAGGTCAGATCCATTAGTGTGGACCTGATGACATCACAGAGGAGGAGTGGCCTTTGTGGAACCTTCAAACCAAACCACTCGTACAACAGTCAGAAGAAAAACATTTAGACAACGCTTCCCTGTGCTTCCTGAGGGAGAAGGTCGAAGGTCGAAGGTCTCACGTGAGGATCTGTGGTCACTGCAGAACTCGGTGTCACTTGGTGGTCGCATGAAATGAAACACTTTTCCTCTTTTAGTCTGTTCAAAATCAAGAATGTTTTTTTTTTAATTTGTAAACTTTTTAAAATGTTCTTTTTTAAAGAAGTAACAAAAATAACTGACAAAAAAAAATATTTTTGTCATCATCACACCCAAAACGTTACAACTTGTCAGTCGTGTTCAATTAAATATGGCTTCACTTTGGGAAAGCAAAAAGAAAAGTCACCCTTTCATATTAAGAGCAGAACTGTTTTAGAAAAAATAGTAAAACTCGCCGTAGCCACAGATGAAATCATTATGCAAAAAGAGGATGTTATAGAAATCAATGTAATTTCCATTTTTAAAGTTTCTCTATTTTATTTAATAGAAATAGTTTGTATATAGGGCAGGGTCGAAAATATATTTGTTCAAAGGCTGCTTCATCAAAGTGGCTGTGGAACTGGGTTCTTGAATGTAAGAAAATGTCTTCCATTATTTTATGCTTTAAATCTGGATTTGTATTAAATGTTTGGACTGTCTTTTTTACTTTTTTTTTTTTAACAGAAATCTCCAGCCGTTAGGACTTTTCTTCTCAGTGATGTCAAACCTAAAAGCTAAACCTTTCAAATCCAAAGAGGGAAAGTAGAACAAATAAATAAAAAAAAACAAATATCTATGTTTCAGTAAATAAAGAAATAAATACATTCTGATTGTCTGTTGTATTTTTGTGACATAAAGTGATTTAAGCTGTTGGCTAGCTCACACTCCAAATATGTTCAGATTCCAAACATCTAACCACAGGTAGCTGACACACAGCGACAGAAGTTTTTTTTTAATCAGCACATCTGTCCATGTCCTTTCATCAAAGTATCTGAGTCAGAGGAAGAGGAGACGTGGTCTCTGCTGCAGCTGCATCTCCATGAGGAGGTTTAAAGCCTTGGTTTTTGCTCCACTGACTCTTCAGGTATGAGATAACAGCATGTAATCTTCACAAACACAAACCAATCAAATGGTCCAATAAACAAAGATCTTACACATTTGATCAAAGGACAGGGAACTCATTTCATACAGAATTTACACATTTGATCAGGACAGGACAAGGACAGGGAACTCATTTCATACAGAAGGATCAGCAGCACATAGAACGTTCAACTTGCAGAACAGTCAGTCCTAAAAAAAAGTGGAATCCATACATATATATGTACGGTATATATGTCTGTTTCTGCAGTGGGAAGAAAACATAATAAATCTAAAAATTGAATTGAATGATGAGAAACAAATATTTCCAGCACTGAATTCCTGAATTTAGCTCGTAGTCTGTATATTCTGAATATATATGACGTCATTCAAGTTAACGCCGCGTTTTTGTATTCACGTCATTTGCTGTCTAAACTCAAGATGGCGCTCTGTTCTCAGGTACCCTCTTGTGCAGTGGGTGTGGTTTCGGCAAATATCGGTAAAATTCGGAATAACTCGTAAGCGCGCGCGCAGGCATGCCACTGTGCTGCATCTCCAGTTTTTTTATTTTGTAATGGCTGTGCAAAGTGTTGGAGAAAAAGCGGAAATAGAAACTAAAGTTTTTCACATTAAAAGGTGTAGCGGATGATGTTTGTAAGTTAACCACATATATTTGTGTACGATCATGAACTTTAACATTATCATTTATCACATTGTTATTTGTATCGTTTAATGTCTATCAAATATAACGGACGACAAATAAAATCGATACAAATAAACAAGTTATTAAATTGGCTGAAACTTGTCTAAATTCATGACACACCGTACATTTGTATTTAAACACAAAACAAACTGCTTTCTAATTAAGACGTGTGTTTAAATATTAAAAAAAATAGAAATTGGTGATTTTCAAATAAAAAAGGTATTGTGTTAAAAGTGAATCATGGTTATTTTATTTTTCTCTGTCTGCAGTCGTTTTAATTGTGACTTTTATTTTGAAGAGTAAAGCGGAAACGTTGTTTCTACATGGTTTGTCTCTCAATCTCTTCAGAGCCAGAAACGACGCGAATCCAGTTCAGACCAGTGACCATATGTAAAATTACAGAATACGGATCCTAGGTTAGAGAGACCAGAATCAAGACCAGAACCGGGACCGGTACTGGGACCAGATCAAGCTGCTCTTTCAACCTTTTACACCAGAATCTGTTTTTTTTTTTCCTCCTGTTTCATCCTTCTCCATCCCTGTCTCTCCTCTCCTCCTCTTCTCCTCCTTCTCCTCCTCCTCTTATCCCTCTCTCTTCCTCATGAAGAAATAACATACATCACTGCAGAAACTGAGCACAAAGGGAAAAGGCAGCAGAGGAATTAAAGAAATCAGGTGAGTGCGCTTCAAACGTGAACAGGTAACAGCATGTGCGCGCACACGCGTTTGCGTGTTCCCTTATGGCGCTGTGTCGTGAATGCGCACAAAAATAACGTTGCGGCTGTGTGTATTTGTTTAAATAGAGGTGCGTGCGTGTCCTGCCGGTGGACACGCAGCTACACACGCGCACAGCCGCGTTCACTCACTCCTCCTCACCCTCGATCACACGAACAGGTGAAACATGAGGAAAATGTGTGAACATCTGTCACGTGGTTGAGTTTTAATGAGAGAGAAAAAAAGAACACAAATATTTTCCAGTTAAAAATATGAGTGTGGTTTATATCCATGGCTTCGGTCACGTGGGTTCCGAATGAATTAATGAAGTCCGTTTCGTCATCAAGTGAACACCTTGGTTTTAGAGTCATGTGGTGTTTCAGGGAGATGTAAGAACGTGGTTGTGAGAGTCGTGATCTAACTCTCCAGACTGAACAGTGACGTCGACACTAAGTTCTTTGATTCTGCACTGATTGTCTTTTTCCAGTCTCCCTTCTTCTGGTAAAATAAACTCACTCTATGAAGATTTTCTAAAGAGACTCAGTAAACCATTATTAATACACCTCTGTGTGAGAGAGAAGAAGAGAGAATGAAGCGTTTATCTGACTCAGCCGTTTCTGTTGCCATGGTGACCAGTGAAGGGGCTGTTGTGCTGATTTTTGCTTTGATTTTTTAAGATTTTTGCAGTTCAAATCTCACTCCTTGACTTTCAGCTGCTCCATCTGTGTCCACGGTTGGTTTGTCTCTCTTTTTATCTCAACAGTTGTTTTGGTTTGGTTTTGGTTTGTGTGAACAATATTGACGAATTCCTGTGGCGTCCATGCTGTTCACAAGGGTCAAAGGTCGTCAGGAGGGGGCGTCAGAGATTTAGAAGTGGGTTAAAAACGTGGTGAATAAAGGAGTCACCAGAGAAACTGTGTGTGTGTGTGTGTGTGTGTGAGAGAGAGAGAGACAGGTCACATAGTTCTGCTGGTTGACTTGTCAAAATTGTGCAGACACTGACAAAACTGATTGTTGGACAGAGGGTCAAACAGTGTCACTGAGTGTGTACACACTCTCACACACAAAGAGAGGGAGAGGGGACACACACACACACCAGTTCCAGTCACATCACTAGAGCCTCACAAAATGGAAGAAGAGGAGCAGGATGGAACATAGGGAGGGTGAGGAGGGTGAGGAGGAGGGGGACCTGAATGTTGGGAAAGGGTTGGAGGAGTAGCTCCTAGAAGAAGGTGGAGAGAACCTTCTCCTCCACCTTCTCCTTCTCCTCACCTAACTACTCGTCTAACTATCTAACTCGTCAAGTTAGGAGTCTTATATTCGAGGTTACACTTACATTTAGGTCGAAGTCACTCATTTTCCATACACGAACCACAGGTTCTAACCACATTGCAGGACTATATTAACCTGTGGAGTGACTAGGCCAAGGTCTGACTTCAACAGGGTTTTTTTTCCTGAAATAATAGTTGTATTTTTATGGATAAAAGTGAAGACAAAGTATACCTCATTTACAGTGTCCAGGAGAGGACACATCCTTCAGCAGAAGACGTGTACCCGTCTGGTTTGGACAACATAGAAACAGTTGATCTAATAAAAGAGTAGAGACACAACACTATTTATTTTTAGTGCCAATTCTCAAACTTTCACAAATGAAAGGAATGATCAAAAACTCTTACCTGAGCCTCGGTGAATAAACTGACATCTGGTCTGATGGTCTGATGGTCACCAACTCCATTCTTTGACTTTTCGTCTGCATCAGCCACTTCGTTCCTCCTCGCTGTGTTCACTTCGGTTTTTCGACAGAAATATTTCCACTATTTCAGCTTGGCACGGCCATTGTGCTTCTTGTTCTTGATGTGTTGTTCCCAGCCATATATCCATGGAAACAACCCAGGCTCCTCAGGCACGGAGTCTTCTCAAGAAGGGCTTGAACCACTGCAGTTACACAGTTACACCTGTAGGGTGACAGTTGTAAGTTGTAAGTTGACAGTTTGTGTACCGCGACCGCACATTTAGGATCTATCAAACATGATTTAGGTTTGGGTTAGGAGTAAGGCTGTTTTCCTGACCTGGACATAAAGACAGTGGTGTCCCAACGATGACCAGAGAGTTGTTGATGTCCCTGTCTCTCCTGCAGGTCATCATGCCGTTAGTGAAGAGGAACATCGAGCCCAGGCACTTGTGTCGTGGAGCTCTCCCTGACGGTGTGAGTAGTGAACTGGAGTGTGTGACCAACAGCACCCTGGCTGCTGTCATCAAACAGCTGGGAGGACTCAGTGAGTTGACCTTTGACCTTTAATGACCTGTCCTGTTTGTCCGGTGGTGAGCAGTGACCGCAGAGAGACGGTCCTGTCTCATTCTTCATCCTCACTCCTGACCTTTTATCTGAAAAGATGAGATTCACCTGAATTCCTCACTTTCTGCTCCTGTCTCCCCCCCGACCCCTGACCCCTGTGCCCAGGTCGCCATGCTGAGGACATATTTGGAGAACTGTTTAATGAAGCCAACAGTTTCTACCTGAGGATGAGCAGTCTACAGGAGAGAGTGGATCATCTGGCAGTGAAGGTCACACAGCTGGACTCCACTGTGGAGGAAGGTGTGTGTCTGTGTGTGTGTGCTGTTTCTGCTCAACAAAAACTTCTGCAGGTGAAAAAATCCAAAGCCAATCAGAGCCCAGTGTTCTGTCAAGGATCCGCCCCAGAGTCCTGTGACATCATCGCTCCTTTCCCCTATCTTCCTGTGTTCTCAACTTGTTTTCTCACAATTTAAACCTGATAAAAATGTACCACTCAAAACCACTGTACTTCTTCACTGCCTGATGGTTGCGTATATTTGTGTGTTTATTTACTTTTAGTCTGTAGAAAGGTCACAGCCTCACTGATCTTCTCTCCCTGTTTTGTCCTCAGTGTCTCTGCAGGACATCAACATGAGGAAGGCCTTTAAGAGCAGCACCATCCAGGACCAGCAGGTGGTGTCCCGCACATCTGTCCCTAACCCGGTGGTTGAGATGTACCATCGATGTGACAAACCTCCCCCTCTGAACATCCTCAGTCCATACAGGTGGGTGGTGTTGGTACAGGATCTGATGTGGATCCACTGTGATCAACTGTGATCGATCGTCTTTGACACCAAACTGTTCAAACTCCTCTGTTTCTGTGCAGAGATGACAAAAAGGACGCTCTCAAGTTTTACACCGATCCTTCCTATTTCTTTAACCTGTGGAAAGAAAAGATGCTTCAGGCCACGGAGGACAAACGGAAGGAGAAGAGACGACAGAAGGTGTGTGTGTGTGTGTGTGTGTGTGTGTGTGTGTGTTTTCTCCTAATACTAATCAAATCATCATCTGTTACTGTTTCTTTTTGCTGTTTTGTTAATTATGTCTTTGTTGTTTCGGTTCCAGGAGCAGCAGAAGCAGGTTGAAGATCCAGGCAGAGAAGTGAAGAAGGTGTGACAGACGGACACACACACACACACACACACACACACACACACACGCCTGACCTTTCAAAAGTGATTAGTCTGATCTCACTGACAATAAAACAACGTCAGAAAAGATCAAATGAAGGACAAGAGCTCCGTGTTTTGACGCCAAACTGTTTTTTCTGTGTGTGTCATTAAAGGTTCGTAAGGCACGTAACAGACGTCAGGAGTGGAACGTTCTGGCCTACGACAAAGAATTCAGACCAGACGCGCGACTTACTCCCTCACCATATCATGGGATGTCCTCAGAGGGATCACTGTCACCTGACAACAGGTACACAGACACAGAGGTTAAAGTTCAAATCTAGCCCTGTGAATTCTTGGTGTCCACCCCAATGAATATCAAAGTATTTGAATGACATCTTTGTAACATGGTGACCTTTGTCCCCACAGGTCAATGGCCTCTGACTCATACCCCACCAGCCCCAACCACCCCTCCACCACCCAGGCCCCGAGCTCTGCCCATCCCACAGACCACCACCTCGGCTCTGCCCAGACTCAGTCTCTGGACCGGGTTCTGAGACCCACCAATCAGACCGCAGGAGCTGTGGCGGGAGGGTCAGGCAGACACGTGGCCTCTCTGGGCCGCACTCCGTCTGGGCCCCATGTGGGTGGAGATGCTGTTGTTAATGGGCCCAGGCAGCAGTCTGTGAAGGATTACCGGGCCGGACATGGGTAACTTCAAGTCAAGTGGTAAAGTCGTGTGTCATTGATGATGATGTCATTAGATTAACTCCGCCTCTTTTCTTCTTCTATGCCCAGGGCTCCACCCACCACCATTCCAGAGTACTATATCCCTCCTGCTCCACCTCCTCCTCCCCCATCCATCCCCTCTGCGCAGACGGCCTTCGACTCGGCCTCGTCACCACCCACAGTCCAGCCCACTTCTTCTGCACTCTCTCGTCCGTACTCCCCCTCTCCTCCTCCTCCACCCGCCAACTATGTCCCCTCCCCATCCCATCCACCATCAGGGGCTCCTCCTGCTGCTCCTCCTCCACCTCCACCTGGAGCTCCTGTTGGTCACCAGCTCCACCAGTCACCGGCCCACACCGGAGCTCAGTCCAGTCTGGACTCTGGACCCACCTCCAGGAAAACCACCATGTTGGGCATGATCCCGATGAGCGACGCCCGCTCGGACCTCCTGGCTGCTATACGCAGAGGTTTGAATCATCTGTGGATGTTTCCTGATTTCCATTTCCTGTTTTCTGTTGCCTGTTTATTGTCAACAGCAAAAACTTGAGAAAATGTGACCTGCTCCCTTAAAGTCTCTCTCCTCTTCTTCTTTCACTACCTTTCCCTTCTCCTCTATTTTTCTCTCTCCTCTTTCTCCTCCCCACAGGGATCCAGCTGAGGAAGGTCCAGGAGCAGAGGGAGCAAGAGGCCAAGCGAGAACCAGTGGGTAACGATGTGGCGACCATCTTGTCTCGTCGTATCGCAGTAGAGTACAGCGAGTCTGACGATGACTCTGAGCTGGACGAGAACGAGTGGTCAGACTGAACCTGACCAGAACCTGGTTCTGATGATGGTGAGAGAAGAAGAGTTCTCAAAGAGGAATCAGCAGAAGCTTCTGCCACCACAAATCAAACCAACACATATATTCCAGGTTCCTCCAGAATTAGATCTCATTGGTTGTTGTCGTGTAGAAGGACATGGTTTTGTTGACAACACAAACTGAGTATTTTTCTGCTAAAAAATATTTACAAGTGTTGGATAATCAGGAGTAAATCCAACACGTCAGCTTCACCCAGTACATTTCACCTGCATAGAGAACAACAGAGACAGATCAGGCTGTCATTACCCAGAATCCTTCACTGTCAGAACCTGACTCTTCTATCAGTGTCTCTGGTGCTGATGTTCACACAGTGACAACAGAATTCAGAAATCAGTCGAACTTGCCTCTCAAGTAATCACCACCCCGAGTAGACCCCTCCCCTTTAATGACCTTTGACCTTCTGTGATCTGTGCAGGGCCACACCTTTACATGCCCTGGAGACTGTGAAGACGTTTGAACTGTGGCACATATATTTTACATTACAAAAATCCCACATCACACCACCAAACACAAATGTCACAAAAGTGTATGTAACGAAATATAAATGAAATATAATGATCTTCTAGTTGCAGTTTACTCACTATTTACTTACTCTGTGTGAATACTGGACCTGTTTAGTTGAACATAACACTGATGCATTGCAGGAATCGATGAAAGACACACTAAGAGCACCATCTCAGAGTCTCTCTAGTTTTAATTTTGTGACCATCTGCTGCCACCTACTGGTAGAGCATTGTTCTGCCTGTTACTGGGGTGTAAATGAATGAAGACCATTCACCTGGTGATTCCTCATGGCAGTATCTTAATCAATGGAAACAATGAAAAATACGTAATTAACAATAAAAAGATAACAGCATTGGCGGCAAGTCGTTATGACTGAGATTGGTATGAGATTTATTAGTGAGTGACAATGACGTTCTAATGAGCGTCATAATGTTTGTTGACATAGGTCAGTATGTCCCTAAATTATCACAAAATGCAACATTGTAATTACCCATCATGCATCAGCGTGTTTTGTGTAAGAGTCAGATAATGGTACATTTCAAATGGAGTTTTCTGTCACAAACAAACAAAAACCATTTTCCTCCAGGGTCAAAGGTCATGCTTGGATTAATCAAACACAAAAAGAAACGATTAAAGCTGTTTTTTCTGTGATTAACAAAAGTATAACAATATTTTATTGCTGTGATTATTTCATCCGTGAAATAACCCTTCACATGGGCAATTAATTTTGACTCAACCAAGTGGAACCAAGACTTACTGTATGTGAGTTAACATTGGTTCTTGTTTGCACTTATTGTTGTTATGAATTGTTCTAATTCCCTTTTTTTTTACAGTGATATGGTAATAGTTTACATTATTGTTTTGTAAAAATGTTTGAATCCTCAGCTGCAGCTTTCAGTGTTTTTGTTACTGATTACATAAATATACTAGATGAATCAGAAAAGGTTAAAACTGTGCTATTGTCTGCATCCATCAAACTTACTTTAATGATGTAAATAATATATGAGGGAAAGCACACGCTGTAAAACGTAAAGCGTCAGAAACTAAATTCGAACAATACATTTTTTAGCTCAAGTGAAGCAAAAACGGACTTTAAAAAAACTGTGCTTTTAAAATAATATATTTGTACGATAATTTATGGTTTGTCCTAGAAGCGGTGGGTCAGGGTAACAAATGTGAAATCGTATGGCGGTGTGTGGAAAAGCCGGTATAATTTAAAAAATAAAACACTGGCAGTAGGTGGAACAATTGCTGTTTATTTTACCTGAAAAAAACTGTAAACAGTTTGCATGTGATGAAAATAAATAAACTCTAAACGTAAGTGTTTGTTTCATTTTTTTGAATAATTTGGATTTTTTTTAAATCATTAAATAATAACAACGCACAGTCTCTTATTTTGAAGTTCCAAATGACGTAACTTCCTACTGTGTTTGCGTCACCAACGTAAAATGTTTGTGTTTCAGTTGTTTTCTTAACATATTTTCTGTATTTGTTTGAGTTTTTCTGGCTTATATCGTCTTCCAGCTACATGACGTAAGTCTGTTTGTTTTGAAGTCGATACCGTTTTCACCCGTACTAAATTTAAAAACGTTTGTAATTCGTTTTTCCAGCCATGTTGAAATTTTTTCAACAATTAAAGTAAAACAAAGTCCAACGTTAAAACTTAGTCAAAAAGGAAAAATGATCAATTATCAACATTATAAGTGTTGGACTTGACTTCATCCCGTTTCTTTGCCCTCTATACTATCGACTTTTCTAATATTGATTTATTATTATGATAATTATAAATATTATTGTTGTTGTTCTCTCAATTTACATCGTATTTCAAAAGTAGCCCTAGTGAAAATTGTAAATAAGAATGATTGAACTTTTTTATTTACCGTGAACACATATGTATTCACACACACTGTACAGCACCAACACATTTTACGTACTTTATTTGAACTTGTTGCAGTTTTTCTTTTTTTATTATCGTAAAAATATTGTTCTCTTTGCAGTTTAACATTTACGAGTGCAACGTGTCACATTCCATCTGATAAAGTGCTTTTGTACTTTTTACAGTAAGGTCATGTTTCACACGAGATCAAATACATCAAAATAAAGGTACATGACATCACAGTATCATCTTTACCCACAATTCACCTCAGCATGAGGGTTAAAAACCAACACATAGATGCATTAAAGTTTCCCAGCGAAGGCCATGATTGGTCCAGGATTAGCTCTGTCATGGTATTTCTGATATTCATTTGTGTGTTTTGTTGATTGTTGATTGCTTGGTGATTGATAATCTCTGAAAGGTCACAGAAATAACCCCCAATATAATCCAGAAATAGTCTGACGTGACGATGAATTTCCGTCGTGCTCAGTTAAAGTCTGCCTGAGTGATGAAACAAAACCCTGATGCCTGTTAGTGTGTGCGTGTGTGTGTGTGTGTGTTTTCATATGGGTCGTCCATAAAAACACGAGTGTTTGTGGAGGTCCAAGGTTAGGAGGATCCAGATGAAGGTGTCTGTGATCTAAAGCTCAGTTCTGCCCCCTACTGTCTTTGCTGTGAATAACATCTTTACGCTTTCATCCCAGGCTTTAAAGTGAGAAGTGATCATGTATGTAATTGTCATATCCTTCTCTTCTTAAACTTAAAGAACATTATTCTACTCAGACCTTCTTCACACACAAAAATTGGCACTTTTTAAAATTTGTCATTCAAAACTTTTTTTTGTTTTTAAAGTTTCTGAATTAAAACCTTTTTTACCTTTCCACAAGAAGGACAGACTTGTTTACAGGAATATCACGGGAGAAACAAACACCCACAGGACACTGAGTTTAAAAAATACAAAAATATACATCTGCATATTTCCTTTATGTTGCATAAGAAAAAAAATATACTTTCACTTCTTTATTCCATATTTCTCTTTAAGTGTTGAATTATGGAAGATTACAAACAGGGATGATGACAGGGATAAGGGCCAGACACACACACACACACACACACACACACACAAACACACAGATGTTACTCAGTTTGAGATGAAAGGGTGAGGTGTAAGTTTCAAAGCTGCTGTTTTATTGCTCAGTGACTTCATAATGGTTAAATAAGGATTTACTTTAGAATAAATAACAGACAGGAGAGGTCACTGCATTAACTGTTATTGATAATTGATCAGATTATCACCTTGTTATTTGAAGATGTTTCAGTGTAGTGGTTCAGTCTCACTTTTTTACTCACATTTAATTTGTGGTTTTCTGCAGCTGCACCTCACTTTTATTCCTGTTTGGAAATAAAATGATATCAAATAGTTTAAATATTCAGGAATAATGTATTTGTATGCAAAGCAAAAATTGTGATATTTGACGTTTGGTCCTAATATATATATATAAAAAAACGTGTCAACTAATCTGATTAAAGAAAGTAAAATGAAGTTTTCAGCTGAAGGACAGGTTGATAAATCAGACACAGAATGTAAACACACTGATGTTAAAAAAACAGTTTTTGAAACTGTTTCTCTGACACCTAACACCTGTCTCCTTTTCTCTTTAGCTTCTTCGACAACAGGAAGTCCACACTACTAAGCTACGCATCGCATCGCTACAAATCTCTGAGCTCCATTACTTCTGTCTGGTGAGTCTCCAAACAAACAAAGTTGTCGAGAAGTTCCCTGAGCTTCAACACAGAAACAAACAGCCACATCATCTGGAACTTTTCAAATAAACTCTGTTGAGTCTCTGCAGACTAAAGCTCAGTGAACCTCAGACGACTGTGGCGCCCCCTACTGAACAGAAAATCATAAAAGACTAATACTTTATGAAATGGATCTCTCGTCCTTTCAATTGTGATTTAAAAACAGTTAAGTGCAAATATTTGAGGATTTTTTTTAATTATATGAATCCCAAAAAATTAACATTTAAAAATAAAATACTGATGTCTGGTTTAGGGCTTAGTGAAAAATCAGTACCTGTAAATAAATATTGTTTTATTAATAGTTTATGATTAAAGTGCCCCACTTTGGGATTGTGTAGTTTCAGTATCAAACAAAAAAAAATTAATCACCAATCAGTGAAGCTCTGTTTTTAGAACAGTGTAGCCCAGTTTCCAAAGCCCCGCCCCTTTCCTGTTCCCAGCTCTGCAGTGCCACTGTCCTTGGTGCTGAAATCTGCTGCTCGTGTCCCAGCTCAGATACTGACAGAGGAACTGTTTTTCCAAAGAGCAGAGCAGATTTCACGTCCTGACCATAAATCCAGCCCTGATTCCTGACAGTTGAAAAAGAACCAAGAGTTATTTGCTTTAAGAAGCCGAGGGTTTTATGGGTGACCTAGAAAACTAAAAACAGATTTTAACGGTGTCATTTCTTTTGTTAGTGATGAGCTATTTTTTTCTAACACTATTTCCTCAATTTCTTGAAACAACCATTTTACTTCTATCCACACAAAGACTTGCATGTGTTTGAATGAAACCTTATCAGAAGACACGTTGCATCAGCCCCTGCACCTGGCATTACTTGGTTTCAAAGATACCTGTGAAGACGTAGATTGTACTTAAAAATGACTTCAATTCGTAGTTTTAGAAACTCACTCACGCACACTCACCACTCTCACCACTCAAACATGGTGACACACCAGGGCTCGGAGGATCTTTTGCAGCGGGTTTCCAGATCAGCTTAGCTCTGTTGTTTGTTGACTTTGCCCTGCACAACTAACCCTGTTAAACATCACTGGAGGCTCTGGGCCTCAGGGACAGGTTTGAAGGGACACACCCACAACATGCCATCCACAATGACTTCTGGATGTCAGGGTTCCGAAAAGCGTAGATGATGGGGTTGATAACAGAGGAGCAAGTGGCTGCGAGGGCTGTGAGGTACGTGTACATGATGGGGTAGGTGGAGTCCGCCACTATGGAGTACATAGCAAAAGGCAGCCAGCAAACCCCGAAGGCCAACAGGATGGCTGTCAGCGTGGAGATCCCTTTGGTGGTGGAAATGGCCACAAACTGCTGCTGCACTGCAATCTGCTGTGCGTGACGAAAGGCGATCTTACAGATCTGAAGGTAGAGCTGCATCATGAGTGCAAAGACCAGGAGGAAACTAACGGCCAGGGCCACCGCGTTGTTTTTCGCGACCGGCCAACAAATGCTGCACGTAGACTTGTCTTTCAAACAGTTCCAGCCCAGTGCTGGCAGTAAGCCAAAAACAATGGACAGCAACCAGATAAAGACCACCATCACGTAAGTGAAGGTGACCGTCCTTTCAGTGTGGTACGTCAGGGCGTTGTAAAGTGACAGGTACCGATCCACCGTAATGGCCAGGATGTTCAGGACGGAGGCGGAAAAGGCTGAGATCAGTAATCCAACTGACAAAAGTGTCACGAACTTCACCGAGTTGTCCACCAGATACGTGAAGATGAAGTTCAGGATGAGGGCCAGGCCGGCCAGGAGATCTGCTACTGCCAGTGATCCAATCAGGATGAACATGGGCGCTCGCAGCGTTGGCGTGTAAAACAGCACAGCGATCACCAGCGCATTTTCACAGGAAATCAGTGTCCCAGTTACGCACAGAACCACATCCCAGGGACTGAGGTCCTGGACTGCGATGGCGCCGCTGTCTGCCTGGACGTCAGGGCCCAGCGTCTGCACAATGGACTCCAAAGAGAAGTTGGTGGGTTCCTCTCCAAGGCTCCAGGAGGTCGAGGAGGCGAAGGAGTCGAGGAACAGAGAGGAAGAGGAGTTGAGGCTGTTATCGCTGCCGCTAATGAAAGCTGTCACTGTAGCCAGAGAGAGAATCATGGCTGAGGAGGAGGAGAAGAAGAAGAAAGCACAGCATGAAGAAACTGATGGGAGTGGACTAAAGGTGGCAGGTGGAGGAGACCATGTAGATGATGATGAAGATAAGCCCAACGACGTGTTTTTAACATGTCAGAGTTAAGGTCAATGTCAAGACATGTTTTATAAAAAAAATGATAGCGGAAGAAAAGAGAAGATGAATCAGGAAATGAAGGGACAGAAGAAAAAGAGAAGGAAGCGAGAAGTAAGAACAGATAAGTCCTAGGATTCTGCTTGTTTTGGCAGCACAGACACGTTAAGCCGTTCATTCATTCACAAAACCAGTCGTGCACATGAGCATGAGCTGAAAATCAACGATATAAAGAAATGCACATGAAAATTGATGCTCAATTTTTAAACAGCTTTCATTTTCTGGAAGATGGAACCGAAGGAAAATGAATATCAATAATTATCATCTAAGACGGAACCTTTTAAAATGTAACCAAAAAACCAAAAGACAACATTAGATCCTTCGTCTTCTGAAGCGACATCAGTCAATTCTATTTTTAGAACCCGTCTAAAAATGGTGAGGTGTGACGTCATGAAATGAGAGCTGCTGAGGAAAATGCTCACTGACGTTTCACACACAGCAGGATTTCACACAGAAACCGAAAAGAATGTCGACCAATAAAAAACAAACTGAAGCTGAACTGTGGAGGCTGAAGAGCCGAGAAGACCTGACGCTCTATTCAGGGAGAAATCACTGCTCTATCAGAACACACACACACACACGCACACACACACACACACACACACACACATACATTGTATTACTGTCAGGCTGCTGCGCACGTCCACATGAACACACCGTCAATGACTACAAATGGCTGAGAGAAGGTCACCCCTCCCTCCCCCTTCCTTCCCTCATCCACCAACGAAGCTACACGTCACTGCAGTATCACAGCACAGCCCCTCACCACACACACACACACACACACACACACACACTGAGCTGCAGCAGCAGGGGGTGAAGATGAGGATGAGGATGAAGAGAAAAAATTCTGAGAAAATTACCAACTCCTTTTTTCTTCTGCTGCTGCTTCTGTAGTGAAAACAGCTCCTTTCCTGTGTGTGTGTGTGTGCGTGTGTGTGTGTGTGAGAGAGTGTGTCCCCTCCTTCATTCAATAAACAGACTGCACTGTCTCTCTCTCTCTCTCACTCATTGTCGCTCTCTCTTTTTTACCACGTCAGCAGCACTCCCCCTCCCTCTCTCTCTCCCTCCCTCTCTCTCTCTCTCTCGCTCCCCCCTTGGTTGGCATGGTTATTAGCCTTCTGTCGGCAGCTCCGTGCTGGCGCTGCACATCTTCTCCCTGTGATTGGTTGAGTGCGGTGCTTTTAGCCAGCTGACTTCAAAGGTCTTGTTTCCTGCGCTGCTGTCGTCAAGGTTCCAGTGAATCACACAGGGGAATGAATCAGAAGAAAACAACCTTCAGCTACTGCTCTGTCGTCACCTCTTCGTCATCCTCATCATTATCACCATTGTTATCTGCACTTACACACCAGCGACGCCAACGTGACCCAGGCTGCCCAACACACACACACACACACACACACACCCATTAGTTACAAACATTTAAAATGAAAAACTCAAACTAAACTACCTTTGTTTTATTCTGTGTGTGTGTGTGTGTGTGTGTGTGCTACACTTATGAAGGTGATAGTTATGTAATGTTGATGCAGCTGATTCGGTTGTCCTGTTTTTAGGTTCTGGTCCAGACTTTACTATAACTTCATCATGTGGAGTCACTGTGTGTGTGTGTGTGTGTGCGTGGGGTGGGGGGTCAGTGGGTGTAATGTCCCAGTAAACCTGGAGACAAAGACGACACAGTGTCTCAGTGTAACAAACATGATGGTTTCTCACCTTTTCTTTGTAGAGCAGGTTTTATGTGATGCCGTGTGTCAAGAAAGACCAAGAAAAGAACAAACAGATCAAAACAACAGAACACACCTCATTATAGTCTCACACACACACACACACACACACACTCAGTTCATGTTTGATGGTGAAAAGAGCATATTTGGAATTATAATGTGTGTGAATGTGAACAGTATGGTGAGAAAGTGTAACTGTGATGTCACTTACTGGTTAACACTCAGCATCATGTGAGGATGGTACAGGACGTGTGGGTGGCAGGAAGTGACTGCCAAAGAGGTCATGGAGGGGCATGGAGATAGATGTCCATGGAGTGGGTGTAAGAGGAGCGGAGGAGGAAGGCTACAGGGTGAGACGGAGGGAGATGGAGCGCTGTGGCGACCCCTGGAGGGAACAGACAGACACTATATCAACACACTATAGTCAATGATATTGATATTTTAATGAGTCATGATCTACCAGTACTGTCCTGGTGATGTATTGGTAGATCACATTGGAGATGAGGAGTAGGAGGAGTAGGAGGAGTAGGAGACCCCAGCTGTTCTTTACACCCCGGCCCAGAGAACTGCCACCTTCAGAAGTTTTCTGATGACTCATCAGTGCTGTGGGGGAGAGTAAGTGTAGGACTGTGGTGGACGACTGTGTCACCTGGTACAGTAGGAACCACCTAAAGATCAGCGACACAAAAACTAAAGAACCGGTGGTGGACTCAAAAGAGTCTCCATTCGCTGCAAAGTATAAAAATCAACAGGGTTCAAACCCTCACCCTGGTCTCTGTACCACATTCAGAACCATTTTCACTCTACCTCTAAACCTGACCCTTACACTTCAGCCCAATCCTGAAGGCTGTGTTTGCGTTGATTGAATTGAGTGACATCGTTGTCTACGAGTGGATGACAACTGTTCCCACATTTCAAGTTCAGGGACAGAAAGAACCAGACCATGTCAAAAGTTGCTTCTTTGTTTTAATTTAAAACAAAATTTAATCTTAACATATTTTGTTTGCTTCATACATAAAAGTCTTCATCATCAAAATAATAACCACAACTCTGTCGACACTAACCATAAATTAAAACAAAACAAAACATTGAGATCAGTATGAAATACAATGTTAGGCAACACAGCACTGGTCGAACAAAGACGCTGATGCTGCAGGACAGACAGACGGACGGGGGCTGAGATGAGGACTAGCTCTCTCTCTCTCTCTCGCTCGCTCTCACACACACACACACATACATACTTCTGCTAAGGTGCATCTCCCCACGTTCACTTATTTTCTTCATTTTCATCAGAACACACTTTAATAAGAGGATTAGTTGGAGTAGGGCCGTGGACTGGACTGGACTGGACTGGACTGGACTGGTCCACTTCACAAACTTCAGATTCAAAAAACAACTTAACAATTTTATTTTCTAAGTCGTAATGATTGGCTGCTGGTCACATTGGGTTCATTCACACCATCACTGACTCTGGACTTTACCCAGAATGCAGCATGGCGTCGTGCTGACAGCATCAGTAAACTGACCGAGGCTGCGTTCACACTTACACACCAGTGTCATCTGTTTGTGTTTTCACAGAAATCCCGGCTGCTCTGGTCTCATGGACGTAAATCCACCAGTGTGACCACAGTGAACTTGATCAGTGGCTGTGGGACAGTGCAGCAACCTTGACTGAAAAGAGTAAAATATGACTTCGGGTTTTTGTTTTTTTTTTGTGGTTTTTTTTTTTTTTTTTGTTGTTGTTCAATTTTTGGATGTGTTGACACCAAAGCAGGAAATTATATATTTTATTCATATTGATTTTGAGTGAAAAACTGTTTATTACGTGATGGAACATTTCATCACTATTTGTGGTATATAAAAGGGAAAAATGGGCATGATTTTAGTGAAAAGGCCGAGAGTTCTCCGTGTTTCGACAAAACTGACGTCAGAGAGTGAAGAGTTTCAGATTTAGTTTTGATCAGAAACAAACAAAACACCAGGTTTAGGTGGAAGACGTGGCTGAGGACCAGTCAGGTGAGGACGTCAGTGCAGAGGACCTTTGATTTCATTAGGTTTTTAAAGATTCATTGACGACACACACTCTAAAGAGTTGACGTTGGCTCAGACATCAACACACACTCACAGAAAATCTTCTCTCATATTTTGAAGAAAAACAGATGTGAACTTACACGCACACACACACACACACACACACACACACACACACAAGTAAAGCCTTCTGTCTTCAGCCTAACGTCCTCCTAACTGGAATGTAGTAGCGCTAAGAACACACACTCACGAGGTTCACACATATACAACGCAGGTAGGGCAAGTGTGTGTGTCTGTGTGTATGTGCGCGAGTGTGTGAGAGGACTGTGAAGCTCGGAGGTTGTAAGGTCCCTCATCGCGTCCCAGATCAGCGGTTCATGCCGACCTTTGAGCCTCCAGCAACGACAGAAGACGTCGGCGAGCCGACACGAAGGGAGTGTTTGTTGACAGACTGCATGCATGTTTGAGTGTGTCTGCAAGAGTGTGAGTGTGTGAGTGTGTGTGTGTGTTTTGCCCGTCTTCTCCTTCTGTTCTCAGCAGCCTGAATGATCTTTACTCCCTCTACAGGCCGTTTTCAGTCACTGCAGGCCACAGTCAGCCAGCAAGCCTCGGGACAAAACTAAGTAAAACAAAACAACAACCTCCAGGATCTGAGTGTCAGAGGTGGGAGTGGTCTAGGAGACACACCTCCTCCCCTTCCTCTCCATCTCCCCCCCCTTCCTCCTTCTCTTTGCTGTCATCTCCCTCCTCTGTGCAGCCATCCTGGAAGGAGCAGATCAGTTGAACATAATGGACTCGGGATCCTGGTTTGCCATTTGGGCCATGTGACGGAGGATGTCTTTTTTTGTGATAATACCAAGCAGCCGCCTGCAGGGGGAGACAGAAAGAGATTACAAAAACAATATTTGTGTTTTTGTTGGCCGGGTTTTAAAAAGTGAGCAGGTTGAAAGTCCGTTTCAGCTGTTCTTATCTTGTTATAATATTAGCCAACCTTTAGCTCTCCTAAGTGTTGTTTCTAGTAGCTTAGATTTTAGAGAAGCTACGTTTGAACTATTTATATATTTTTTATTAAACATTATGTTATAATTTAACTAGATTTGTGTTTATTCATTGACCTTTAGTCAATTTCAAAGCATTTTTTGTAAAAAAAAAAAAAATATATATTTATGAGTTATAACATGCTTTTGGCCAACAGTAGCCAATACTAACCTTTTTGGTTAGCACTGTTCTATAAGAATTGCCTCAGATTTTTATTTCAAAGTAAAACCATTCATATCTTTTCAACATTAATAACATTGACTTGGGTCAAATGTCCTTAGCAGCAAAGAATTAAGTTAGACACTTTAAAGTTTAAACCTTAAAATAAAGTAAAACAAATAAAACGTTTTGAGGGAATAATGTAATTATAGAAATCTGAGCCCAGACAAAACCCCAGAAAAAGTCCCAGAGGAAACAGTCGGAACCAGGAAGGAGAGAAATGGAGCCAAGTAATCAGAGAACAGAGAAATAGAAGCAGGTCAATGACAGCAGCCAAATAACCCACTTAGTGGACATTACAGACACCGCCCCCTGCTGGACTAAGTATACGTACTGTAGTCCAAATCTTGGAGACAAGAGGGAAAAAGTGCAGTTTTCATGTTAGTTTGATCTTTGATCTGTTTAGTACTTGAACAGCATAGCAGTGATGGAAAACACTAGAAGTCAAGAAAAATAATTTTTATATTATTACAAATGAATAGATCCAAAATACTGAAAAGGCAGTTAGGAATAACTTTCTTCTCTTCATCTTTGTGTTTTCCTTCTGATCCAGGAGAAAAAAATTACACTTATTTCTGTTTAAGGTGTTTTGGAAACATTTCAAAACACCACCATTAGGTGGTGCTCTCGTCCTCTCGGACAACGGCCAAACAGAGTAGAAGAACCTATCGCTGTGGTTAGAAAGGAAATAGTGTTTGTAGGCTGTGAAGCCACATGTTCAGAGCTGGTCCAGACCGGTTGACTGCACCGTCCATCAGTTTTCACTTCAGAGTTAAATATTTAGCTTGACTGAGCAGAAACACCAATGTCTGAACCCAGGTCTGAACGACAGGAGACAGGGCTGCAGCTGTATATAAACTAATAGTTTAGGTTAGTAACAACTGGAATTAATGTTCAAATGGAGCTGATTTTAACTCAAAGATTAGTTTAACCAGATGTAATGGTAAACCAGGATGAAATCAGTTTTGACATTTTACTGATCACATCATTAATTCTAGTGTTGATGTCAATGAATGATTCTATTTTCTTATTGATTTCCCTTGGGTTAGAAAATTAAATATAGAACATGTTGGTTT